CGTCCCTCTGAGCAATCTCTAGCAGGCGTCGGCAAGCCTTGTGAGACATTGTCATCTTTTGCTCACGATTCATGTGAGCCCTGCAAGACGTTCAGACAATCACAATGTCAAAAGTTCGTGAGCAAGCTGGGCAGTTTGGCCAAGGATCATTCCTTGCGCCGGCTTTTTCACACTCTCTTTTCAGACTCTAACATCGGGCACGCAGGGCGGTGGGGCCCGGCCTGCCTTACTCACATTCTCTTCTTCCAATCACCAAACAGCTCGTCCTTATCGAGCGTCTGCACCACCTTGACGCGCGAATCATTGTCGATCCTTCCATCCCTCAAGATGCTTTCGATCTTGGCAGGATCGAAAGCGGCTTTGCCTCTAGCAGCTTGCATATCCGTAGCTGTTTGAGAGGCTACATTTCCGATGGGCACGGGCAGCGTCACGCGCGGCACGCGACCACCGCTCTTCGACTCGCCAAGAGGTTGGTACGTCGAACTGGCAGAAGAGGCGCCAGCGGGGGCTGAAGTGGGGTGCGGCCTCGCTGCGTTCGACGTCGTCATTTTGGGCAAAAGATTGTGGAAGCGAGGCTGGGGTGGGGTGCAGTGGTCTTAGGGACGCGTGAAGTGATGACGCGAATCGACCAGTGTCAGTGCAAGGGGCGAATGATTCAAGCTGTTGAGAGGTGGCAGAAGCGTCGCTCTAGCCACGCATCAGGGGCCCTTATGTACCCTCGACGACGATCTCGAACTGTGTGGCTGTTTACTTTCCGGAGCAGCGCTTCATGTTGCAGCCGGTATCAGATGTTCATACTTTTTGAGTGTCAGCACATTCAAAGCCTCGCGACACTCTGACTGGTGACTCGTGACTTCATGTGTCTTGCTTGCCATTACCCCATCTTTGCGAAGCAAGGTAGCGAGATGAGGCCTCCACAGGCACGTCGACGGTTCCGGAACAAGCGACCAGCATTAGCCGGACAAGCGATTATTGAGCGAGCCACAGCCGCGCGCGGGGAAAGGGGGCAATGATTCGCGCCATACATACAGTACAGCGCGGCCGACGCGCGGCGACGACTGCAACGCGTGAATGCTGACGCAGTCACAGTGCCGCCGTCGGGAGGAGCCGAGACAAAGTTTTTGAAAAGGTGCATGCATGCCATGTCTCCAGCAGACAGACTGACATCTGCAGAGCGGCACCGAGCTCTCCCATTCCGGGGATCTAATGTAAAGCTGCCCGCACGCAGTCCTCTCGGCATCATTGCAAAGCAAACAAGCCCTCAACTTCGTGGCGCGGGGAAGGTTGGATGCATGCGTGGATGGATGGATGCACGCGGATGGATGCCATGGCCCCACGGGTCGCCCGCCTCCAAAGCAAGCGAGGAAGCGGCTCGCAGAGCGCCAAAGCAGGTACCACCCGTAAGCGCACAGCATCGGAGAATAGGCAGGCAGCCCTGTCGCAACCGTACACACAGCATCTTGATCACACTCGTACCTCACGT